ACCCATTTTTCAAAATCTACTTTTTCAGCAATAAATTGTTAATCACGTTGTCCTCTAACAAAACAATCAATCTAGGGGCTTCAATATGAGAAAAAGAGGGCGTCCTGCAGCGAAAACGTTTTTCCGGCGACGGGGGACTGGTTGAAAACCCCGTCCTCAGCCCCGTCGATTTGGGCTGGACTGAGGACGGATTCCCCGGATTGCCCACGTCCTTCTGTGCTGGCAGGGCTGTTGGCCAATAGTAGATGGATCCTACATGGCATCAGATAACCCCCGTGCACGCTTAAGTCCGCCACAATAATCGTCGATCGTTGGGAAATGCACTTTAACATGGTTGAGTCAATTCCGTTAAGGGAGAAGGTGACTATTCTCCGGGCAACTGTTTTTCGGGATTGGGCGTAATTGGAAAATGTGACGTTAAAAAATACGGGGAAAGTGTCCAATCTGTCGAAGTAAACAAACGATCTCTTGTGTTCGTGGCATAAGCAGTTATTGTAGCTGTGTTTATTGTCAGTTCACAAACAATGTCAAAAGAAATATATGGTAAGGTATCGAACTGACGATGTAAAAGCTGTTCAAACTTGTTACTAGAGTTTGTCAGTAACTGGTGTCTTTCAGGATAAAAAGCTACAGCTTCTTGAGTGATGATAGTTCAGAACGGGGAAGAGTTGGCACGAGCGCACGGTGTTGTCAGTCGCCCTTCTGTTTTATGGAACCAATATTCTACATTAGGTAAAGGTGCGTCGGCGCACGGTTGCTCGCTGACTGCTGAAGAATTCACCCATTGCGGACTGTAGAGTCAGCACAGTTGTCTTCAAGATTAAATCTGCACATGTATTACAGGCCGCGAACGCCATCAGACGAGAAGACAGATAACGCCGAATCAGCATCCAAAATTCGTCAAATGTGTTTTGGGATTGTAAATGTATTTATTATCAGTTAACGGACGCGGTTAAAAGTAGTATATAGTGGCGGATGAAGCTAGCAGTGCAAAAAACTCTTCAGAGATGGTATTGTTACCTGTAAGTGCTTTTCTTCGGATAAAATACTACAGCTCGTTCAATTATAGTAGTTAAGTACGGGAAAGGGTTGGCAGTTTTCTTTAGTGTTGTTTTTGTTTGTGTTATAATGGGCACCGCTATGCCGTTCAAGTTGCCTCTAAAAGATGTCAATGGAAGCGGACATAACAACATCCAGGGGCAGAGATATCCAAGCTTCAACATTCTTGTTGTAAAGGGGGAACTTTCGTGTGTCCAACCTGGTCCCAGTCACGTGTAGTTTGAATACATGGCCTCTCAAGTTCTGAGTTGTTGCTAACTCAAAAAAGGCAGCCGTCCTAATTACGCGTGATGCGAAATAATTTTATCAGGTCACCGCGTAGCCATCTCTTAGTCAAAGGAAATAGATCAAGATAAGTAAGCACGCCTATGAACCTTTTAGGGGATGTGGATGTCTTTCGCGGCCCAGGGTCACAGAGCTTTGATAGCGAACTCCACTTGCGGTCGCGTAAATGTTCCGAAGACCTGAGCGAAACAGACTTCATCGAAGGTTGAGGAAGCCCGTTTGTCAAGGTATAGGTCGGACATCGCATATTTTATACTTTTGCAAAGTGCAGCGAGGGCTTAAATGAGGTCTTGATCCACATTTTAAAGTCCTTCCTTCAAGACCATAAAGTCGATTAAAGTTTCCCTGCAAATTCTCCTCGTTTACTGCATTATTGTTGAAACTTCGAAGCCGAATATGATCGGCAAAAATAGCGACATCACATTCCAGTTCACGGATGCTGCCAGTAACACACACAATGAACAGTTTAGAACCAAGAGCGGGGCCTTGGTGAACAATAAACTTTAGCGCAACCTCCGCCAAGAGCTAGTTCCCGAAATGGACAGTTTGAGATCGGCCGAAAATGGAACTCTTAATCCATTTCAGGAGATTCTCTAACACTTGTTCGGCTGCTTTTGTGCAGGAGTCGTTGACGTGGACACTATCGCACATCTTTTTCAAGTTAATGTAAACTATATGAAGCGGACTTCCTCCCTCAACTGTCAGGATCCAACGTTCAAAACAATAGAGCATTTTCGTCACGCACGACCTGCCTCTACGGAATCTATATTGCGCATCGGATAGAAGGTTATGCTCCTCTAAGAAGCACATCAACTGTCACTTAATAACCTTTTCCATAATTTTCATTAGATGGAATTGAGGCTGATCGGTCTGTAGTTGTTTGCAGAGACCTTTCTGCCACCTTTAAACAGCGGTATGATCAGTTCAGA